GCTTTCTTCCTTGACGGATATTTTTTCCTCTGTGTAAGGAACACCTAGACCATGGTTTGCTCCTTTAATACGCCAATCTTTACTCGTAGAAACATTAAATTCCTGACAAATACGCTCATACGCAGACCTATCATAATTATTATTTGTGGAATTCCACGCTCGATCCTGCGGTAATGGAGCACTAATTTCTTTAAGTATACGTCTAATCTGATAGTACACGTGAAATAATAAAACAGACTTATATAGTTTAAATCCTGGGGCATTAACAGATACGCCACATCCCGTTGTGGCACACCATACGGCAAAGTTTAACTGATTCTGCCAAAATTGCATCGGATTGTGAAACCAATCGTGCACTATTTTATCGCTAGTTGCCGTGACCCTGTACTTTTCAAAGATATCGGGTAATTTAACGAAAAAATCATCACCATAGGAATTTACCATAATCGATAGATTAGTAATCTGTCTCGATTTCATATTTAAGTTATGATATAGTATCATTGTATATTTAATATGTATGTTACACTCCCGGTAATAACAAATGGTCAGTCTATGGAACTGCTTCATACTATCGATAACTCGGATGGACAACTCGAAGTAGCTCTATGCGATGTAACGTATTACCCGCTGTGGACCAATATAAATACTGCAAAAGATAATAATAGGATAATGATAACTGATGGAGTTAGTCCTGGCAAAATAATTACTATACCTGATGGGTATTACAGTGTATGCTCACTCAATGATGAAATTTTTAAGCCTAATGGAGTTAGTCTAACACAAAATGAGTCGAATGGGTTACTGAAATTAGACCATGGAGAAAATAGTGCAATGATTTTATTGGACTTATCAATTACACTTGGATTTGCACGCTTAATTGGCACAATATACAAGACATCAGCACAGGGGGTTAATTTGCCCGATTTAGTTCCCTATAAAGAGTTGTGCATCCATCTTGATCAGATCAGTACGACAGATAATATTCAACAAGAAAGTCCTTCAACTCTACTCAGATGTGTTCCAGTGAAAATGAAAAATACAATAGTGGTAGAACGGAATCTTTCTCAACATTACAATATAAAAAATTAAAGCGGGGTATTATTTCAGACCTCAAAATTTCTATATTATAGTAGATGTAAAACACCAACCTGTACATATAGAATACTTAAGTGTAACACTCCATATTATAAATATATATATATTTAGATATAGCAAATTATATGCCCTTCAAAGGTGGATCTTACATAGATTTACCCCCGTATTATAAGAAGAAAAAAGCCATAATTAACGTAAAAAATAAATCCGATGACTGTTTAAGAATGATGATAAGATCTGCATTGTTCCCCGTAGACAAGCATCCGGATAGACCTTCTCGCTATCCCCAAAACGATGGACTCAGCTTCGATGGCATAGACGAACCTACACCAATATCACAAATTGATAAGGTGGAAAAGCAAAATAATTTAGCTATTAATGTTTTCGGACATTCTAAAGGAATTGTTGTACTCAGGATAAGCTCCGCTCCGGAACATATCCCCAGAATCAATTCATTTCTGGTCGAAAAAGATGGTAAATATCATTATACGTGGATAAAGAGTTTAAACAGGCTATTATACGATCAAACTAAATATAAGGGAAAAAATATATTAAAATTTGAACATTATTGTAATCAAATGCCAGTACCGTACGTAATTTACACCGACTTCGAAGCGCTTATCAAACCCATAGAAAATAATCAAGATAGTAGTTTTACGTACAAAACTCAAGAACATATTCCTTGTGGGTTTGGATATATAGTTGTAAGGTATGATGGGAAAACAAACCCGCCCGTGATTTACAGAGGTCCCGATGCAGCGGGAAAGTTCCTAGAATATCTACAAAATGAAGAGAGAATAATCAGGGAAAAATTATCGTGTAAGAAACCCATGTGTATGAGTAGGGATGATTGGAGGGCCCATAAGAAGTCAACGAGTTGTCACGTTTGTAATAAACCCCTGGATGGGGATTCCGTAAGAGATCATTGTCACGTCACGGGTAATTATCACGGGGAGCCGCGCATAACGAGTGTAACTTGAAACTAAAAATGAATTCTCAAACAATACACATCCCTGTTGTGTTTCACAACCTTAGGGGATCCGATTCACATCTCATTATGCAAGCTATCTCAAAGACCGACGGCGGTTTAACGTGCATTCCTAACAATATGGAAAAATACATATCGTTCTCATTGACTAAACCTATACATTATAGGGACAAGGATGGGAAATCCAGAATAAAGCAAAGTAATGGGCTTAGATTCATAGACTCCGTACAGTTTCTGTTATCTTCCCTGGACAATTTAGCTAATGCGAACAATCCCGATGACTTTGCGATAACAAATCAATATACCGATAAGATAACTCGTCATTTGTTGCTGAGAAAAGGTGTATATCCTTACGAATATATGGATGATTGGTCTAGATTCGACGAAACTGAATTACCACCCCTCGAATCATTCTATAGTAACTTAACAGAATCTAAAATAACAGATGACCATTATGAACACGCTCTGACGGTCTGGGATAAATTAGGTTGTAAGAATTTAGGTGATTATCACGATCTGTACTTAAAAACCGATGTACTGTTACTCGCCGATATATTCGAGATATTTAGAAAGACATGTTTAAAACAATACGGCTTAGACCCGGCATGGTACTATTCCAGTCCCGGACTATCGTGGGATGCATTGTTGAAGAAGACCGGCGTAGAACTAAAACTACTCACAGATTACGATATGCACTTGTTTATTGAGAAAGGATTAAGAGGTGGTATATCGATGGCAGCGAAAAGGTATTCTAAGGCTAATAATAAATTAGTGGAAGGATACGATCCTAGTAAACCCGACACTCACATATTATATCTCGACGCTAACAATTTATACGGATGGGCTATGAGTCAACCTTTACCCACGGGTGGTTTTGAATGGGTCGATGATATCGAAGTGAATGATATCCATAATATCAATGTGAATGATACGAATAAAGGGTACATACTAGAAGTTGACTTGGAATATCCAAGTTCGTTACATAAAGACCATAACAGTTATTCGCTAGCTCCCGAAAGATTAATGGTTAATAAAGATTGGATGTCGGAATATCAACGCTCCTTGATGGGTAATAGTAGGTTAGCTAACGTAGAAAAACTCGTACCAAATTTGATGGATAAGACAAAATATATAGTTCACTACAGAAATCTCCAGTTATATCTATCGTTAGGTATGAAACTTAAGAAAATACACAGAGTTCTAAAGTTCGATCAAAGCCCTTGGATAGAGCCCTATATAAGGTTGAACACAGATTTAAGAAAGATTACCTATACTACTGATGGCTCACAACCCAGACTTAACACCAGGGTTTTATTCTCACATCTGCCTGGTACCCATGAATGTCTCAGACACGATAAGAATGATCCACAACCTCTCCGCGTTCAATGAACGTTATCTGAAGCGTCCACATTATTGCCACCTCACCACATTGAGATGCTCAGAACCAACATCAATGCCTTCGATCCTTGATCAGTCTCAACTATCCATCCCTCTGACCGCAGACTCCACAGGTTCTAGTTCAATGGAGTTCCCTACCATTGGTTAGTGTTCCCATTTGGAATTTCAGTGACCCCGTGGCTATTTACAGGAGTAATGAAGCCTATAACTGTGTATCTACACCTGACAAACACTTGGTTCGAGTCGTAGATAGAGGACGGTCTACTGTGTCATCAACACATGCCAACTGTTGTACGCCAACGGGAATTCACCATGCAGACATCTACTATATCAACAGGGATGGATAATCAACGAGGCGAAGTCGGAGTTAACTCCTATCGGCTTCAGTTCATAGAAAGCCTCTTCCAGACAGACCACATATGCTTCGCCAATGGCAAGTGTTGCTAGGGTTACTCACTTCGGCACAGGACTTAACCAGCATAGACCGCTTACAACTGTGCCCAATTTAACGATTCCTGAACCCTTACATCAGGCATCAGGATCTACTCAAGGCCATCACTCTACTGGCTAAACTCTACTGGCCAGGCAGCCTCAGGGCTATGGTCCCGCGCTCATCGAAAGTGGCACATAAACAACTTGGAGTTGGAAGCGTTAATTCTGTCCATATCCCATTGGCAGAATCCGCTACAGTCCGCCCAACTTGCAATATCCACAGACAACAGCACTGTGGTATGGTGCCTGCGCAATCAGGGAACAACGCACTCCCACTCCCTACTTCAATAGACATTCAGGTGGTTCCATCTAGTGGATCATCTGGAACTACAGTTGATAGTTCAGGACATCTTGCCGAGAGAGAATAACCCTCACGAGTTCAGGATGTTAGCCTTTACCATGGTTTTACACAGCAATTGTTATGTTTTTGGAGGTCCGACACAGTTTTCGTTAGTCATTATCTTCGCAATGTGGCAAAGTTTTGGCCCTCTGGTTGTAACCCAGTAGGTTACCAACCCCCGACGCAAATAATGAACTCACCCTATACAGAACTAGCCTACTTCCATGTGCAGTCGCACAGTTTCCGCCAGTGGAAGAATATAAGAACAATCTTGCTTGTCAACACTTGCTCTATGACATAGTATGTAAAGAATTAGCTGATTAGCTATTATTTTCTTTATTATTATAGGGAATTTCTCTTTTAATAATGTTCAATCGTTTTGATATTTGAACAACCCTACCGTAATGGAGTTTTTCTGAACTTTTCGCTTCATGGTTTATCGACCAACTGGTATCGTATTTCAGGGTGTGAATTATTGAAGTTTTTGTATTCTGAAGGTTTACCCACCTCCAAACTGTGTAATAGGGTTAGCCACTGAACCAGTTGGAACAACTTCTTCTTCAGCAAGCCCTCACACAGCTCTCTCTCACTGTCAAGAACAAGAGATAAGTATCCAAATATAAAAATATATCTAGGGTTTTCAATATAGTATCTGGCTAATATTGTTATGTATTGTCTCTTTGTCAGGTGGTTTGAATCAAGTAGAGGACACTAAATTAAAGATGACCAGTCCAGATATGAGAAGAGCCAGATTTGAACTGCTTTACAAGGAATATGAGGTTGGATTCAAAAACTGCTTTGAAAGCTTCTTCCTAATAACATAACATGGATCATTTTTTTTTCACTTATCACATATATCATTATGTAGGGGACATGTAGTGAACAGGATATTGAGGTATTTTCTAATGTAACCATTTGGAAGTTTATGCTCAATAACACAGTTTATATTTTCCTGTGTATCATTCACTGTATGCATGTATAATCTAATGAACATGCTGCTGTGGAGAGACTTCTGTTTTCATGGTTATGTTCTCAGGTTATTCTTCTCTACCCATGTAATGTATGGTCTGTATAATCTAGTGTAATACTCCAGAAAAATTCATGTGAGCTCTTCCTCTGCCTCTATAATATTTCAAGGTCAAATTATCATGATTATACACAAGGGGGTTAAAGCAAACTCAGTGTTTAGGCAATACACCAAAGTCACTATTGGATATGTATCACCATATCTTGTTCAACCATTTCAAAATCTTTGATGTTCTTGATGTCATGTTAATTTATGTGTATTGATACAGAATGAAGTATATCTATATTATGAACATAAATAATATGGTGATGCACTGTTGCATTGGTGAACTGTTTCGGCCTTACACGTGATATGTGTGTGTGTAGAAACTTACCCATGTATCAGCATCTTTATTATCTAATGTTTGTAACATGTTCCATGAGCATCATGACCATATGAGGAATACTCCAGAAATCTATTCTTTTTTACTCCTTTTGTTCTTTGTTTTCTCCTTCTTTAGACTTGTATCGACTGAACAGTTGGTATGCAGGAAAAAGGTGAAATGTTTAAAACATTTGTTCACAGGATGAATTTGATCATCTAGAATCTGAGATGAAGCTCCTCAAAACAGAGAATGAAATCTTGAAAGACCAACTCAAGAAGGGAGGTGAGAGGTCAGGGGTCAGTGAAAAGCCGGAGTTCATTCATCCAGGATCATCCGATACCAGGAGTCTACTGACACTCACCAAGAAACTACAAGATGCTCAGAAACTATATGAACATCTCAAAAACGACATGGCGAAGGTCAATGAGGTACATATCTGGCAAACTGCCAGTTTCAGCTCTCCTGGTTTGTCCATCTGTCCTTACCCTTTACGCTTTCATTATCTTCTGTAAAACCACAAGCCTGTGATGATGAAACTTTGCGTGAATGATCCCAGGTACTACCTTTCTTAAACTAGCTCACAAAATTCTGATCCGATTTTAACAAGGCAACTATGGCAGTCATATTGCTCACAAATTTTTAGCCCACCTTACTGAAAGTCAAGTGAGCTTATGTCATGGCCTGCTAGTCATTTCATCATTATCAGCGTCATTGGCGACAGGGAACATCGTCACCTCACACACCACTGAACCAATGAAGCTGAAACTTCACATTCTTCTTCACACCAATAATCACACCTGAATTAGTGCATGAGGATCAAATTAATTTGTCAATCCATTTCCACAGCTATTTATGGCCATTACTTATTTTGTGAACCAGTTGGAAAAAATATATGGTGTTAAAATAACGATTTTAACTTATCCTTCATTACTCCTTAATGCATTTACTGCTGTGTTTTGACAGAGAGAAGAAGTTGTTCCAACCAGTGGTGTAGCGATACCCACACACAGCTGCCATGTGACCTGGAAGTGGTGATGCCACATAAGAGAACATTACTGCTTTGTCTGTCAACACGGACAGACCGACGTGTTGTTGAGAAATAAAGCCTCTCCGCACTTGCTATTCAACCACCGATGATAACAGGCAGAGTATCAGGGTATCTCCCTTCATCGTCCCCTAGATATAAGAAAGGAATGGCTTATACAGCGCCAAGGGGATGAAAATGATCACATTATGTCGAACGGTATGATCCTTCTGACCAAAGTAATATACATTCAGCCATCTCTACTAGATACAGCGACGATTTAATAATTCTTCCAACGACTGTTACGTTGACCTCTGATGTCAACACAGGGACTAACTAAGCACCTCCCTTCATAGTCACCTCAATATAAGACATCCAGGGAATGGATATCATCACCTTACTTTGTACAGTACGATATTTCAGACCAAAGATTTAGGTTTATATTCAGCTTTGTCTACTGGATACAGCTTCCACTTCCCATGACCAATAAGTCAATGCCTTGGCATTTGTTAGGGGAGCACATTTAATTAGTCTTCATGGGATCTGGCATTGGTTCGCAGACAAACACAACTTCCACATATCATCAAGGCCTGACACGATCAGTAACCCTCCTTAAGTTGACCTTTCAACTTTACAGTCTCGTAGACTGCCTAATCTAAATCTGCTACCTGCCCTTTAACAGCTGCTTACACTTTGTCAGTGATCAGTGACAAGTGCTCATGGGATTGCTCACATTAGTCCTGGTTTGGATGAGCAGAGGTCACCTACACCAGGGTCCGACCCAGCTGTTCATGGCGTCTTACATACAACGTCAGGACCCTTGCTCTACCGCCCCACCTCAGGAGTCATCTGGGATTTGGCTTTGCTGCGATCCTTCAGATTGGAGGATCAGAAGGCCACATTCAGACCCCCGGTGTGGGATTTGGCTTTGCTGCGATCCTTCAGATTGGAGGATCAGAAGGCCACATTCAGACCCCCGGTGTGGGATTTGGCTTTGCTGCGATCCTTCAGATTGGAGGATCAGAAGGCCACATTCAGACCCCCGGTGTGGGATTTGGCTTTGCTGCGATCCTTCAGATTGGAGGATCAGAAGGCCACATTCAGACCCCCGGTGTGGGATTTGGCTTTGCTGCGATCCTTCAGATTGGAGGATCAGAAAGCCACATTCAGACCCCCGGTGTGGGATTTGGCCTTGCTGTGATCCTTCAGATTGGAGGATCAGAAGGCCACATTCAGACCCCCGGTGTGGGATTTGGCTTTGCTGCAATCCTTCAGCTTGGAGGATCAGAAGGCCACGTTCAGACCAATGGTGTGGGATTTGAACGTGGCTCTCTAGCTGCTGCGTGATGCCCTAATCGAGCCACTTCACCCAACTTCATTTTATAACCTCACCAAGAAGTCAGTCCTCCTCTTGGTTCTAGCTACTGTGGCAAGGGTGAATGAGCTACATGCATTTGACACCACCCTTGTCCGGTTAGAGCACAGGGTGCACAGAGCTGTTCATCTTTGGCTGTGATGGATTTCATAGCCAAGAATCAACTCCCAGGGCAGCTAGACCAATCCTTCACCGTCCCACCTCTCTCTTCGATCGTGGGTGCAGAAGACAAGCAGGAACTCTATCTATGCCCATTTCATGCACTGAGGTGTTTTCTCTGATGATCTACTCAGCAATATTCCAGCTATATGACAGCTATAAATAATCGAGTCTGGACCATACAATCCAGTGATTGACATCATGAGAATCTATCCACACAATTGGGATATGAAGACATGGATCAACCAAGTTAGTGAGCCTGACCACCCGATCCTGTTAGTTGCCTCTTATGACAAGCATAGTCGCCTTTTAAGTCAAGCATGAGTTGCTGAAGACCTATTCTACCCCGAATCTTTGTGGGTCCTGACGCTCCAAGGCTCAACATGGTGCCAGGAGATGACTGTTCCTTTCCCTTTTTCCACCTCACAGACCAACATTAGCCGTTAACAGAATCTCCTTGTGGTTATAAGCAACTGCTCCGTCCAACCAATCATAGAAGATTGCTTCTGGCGATTGACACAGCCCTCGCCTTGGAGGACGTTGGGGGGGATGTCCACAGATTTGGCCCCTTGGTTGCCCAGCAGGTCACCAACCCCAAACACCATTGACTCTTCCCAATGCCAAGAGCTGACTTTTCGACCTCTCTGGTGCTTGTCACCCCAGACTAGAAGGTTTACATGCTTCTAGCATCAGTTTTTCCCTGCATACCTCACACTCTCGTTTTCCTACTGACAGGAATGGTCATTCTTTTCTGGTCATCGCGCAGGATGCTGTACTGGTTACTTGGACCTTGATGGGGATAGTTTTCAGATAACATCTTCAGGTATGCCCACCTGTCGTACGGTCTGATAGAGATGCATTAACAAGCAATGCAGGATAAGTTAAAAAATTTAGTAAAATCTAAATATTTTTTACATTTGTATGTATGCTTATTCTGCATTACTTCGCAGTGCTACCTCCCCACCAAGTGCTCAGATGTTACCCTCTAAGCAATAATGTAATCTTATGTGATGTCACCACTTCCAGGTCACATGACAGCTGCGTGTGGGTATCGCTACACTACTGGTTGGAACAACTTCTTCTGCAGCTGGACCTCTCACAGCTTTGTCTTTCTGTCAAAAAACAGCTGTAAATGCATTGAGGAGTAATGCAGGATAAGCATACAAATATTCAAAAATAATTAGATTTTACTAATTCTCCATAGAAGTATATACAAAGTATGGAGTAGCAACTTTGTGTGAAGTAAATTTAATGTTTTACAAGAGTACTCTCATTGTTGCAGATTTAGAAACACTGGCAATTTTGTTACTTGTTTCCTATTCTGTACTTGTTTGTACATTTGTCCTCAGTATTTATGCAGAAAAAAATGAATAGCATTGCTGGTTCTGTACATATCAAGGTGAGCTACAGTACCGTGGAACTATTTTTTGTTTATTGATAGTTTCTTATTCAAGTTTGGTATCCAGGCAAATTAGGGTAATTAATTTGGCTGCACCACAGTAATGCCACACTATAGACAAAATAATGTATGTTGTTGCCCATACATCAACTCACTTATAAATGAGTGTCAAGAGTGAATGACTTAATCTATTTGTTAATTTTATTACAGGTGAATTAATACTTGCTTTATTATTCACACATATCTTCAGGAAAATAACAAACTCAAGGATGAAAAGGTCAACCTTAATCGAGAAAATGAGAAACTCCGAATGGAGATTGCAACCCGATCTCCTCACAGGTGAGTGTAATCATCTCCCTTTAGCTAAAGCTATTCATGGTCAGTTTTTTGTTATTAGTTGTAAACCACTGAACTTCCGCACCCCTCAGGCCCCTTACCAAGATCTAGTGTTAAGCTGAATTCAGACATTGTTTACTAAGCAGTTTGTCGCCTTCCATTTATCTCGATTGAATGTATGGAAACAGTTGTCATTCTCAAATTATTAGCCCAACCAGTCCAGCTAAGCTTTTGTGATGTGGAGTATTAGAATGGACACCATACGTTCATCCATCTGTGCAAGATTTCCTTTTTGGAGCTGATCTTGAAAAATGTACTATATTTCTTTGCCAAACTTGGCACATGGATAGGTCTTAGGGTGAACTGGTGCCTTTTCAATTTGAGTTTCCATGGCAACAACTTTGACTTAGACTGGAAATGGCTGTAATGCTAATTTCCAGAGCAGATTTTGAAAACCTTGCAATATTTCTTCAGCAATCTTGGCAAATGGCTGAACAAATGTAAAGTAAAAGAAAATAAGGGTCAGAAGTATTTTATAGGTTAGGTCATTTTTTTTCAAAGGGAAACATCATTTGTGAATGAATTTCGGTGTAGATTTTAGGTTTAGATACAATTTTTTACTTTTTACTTATCCTGCATTACTCCTTAATGCATTTACTGCTTTCCTTAGGACAACAAGGTGAGTGCTCAGCAATGGTCTAGGGAGAAGAAATGTTGTTTTTCCATTTTCAACTGCTGCTTCAGCTGCACATTACTGCCTGTCGCGCAACAGCTAGGACGTTGTCAGCTGGCCTCTTCAAATTTGGATATTTTTTTTAGGCTTTTAGCTGTGCTTAATTAACTAAATTATGACTGCTATGGATGATGTAACCTTTTCATATTACTCTCTCATTGTTTATTAATATGTGTATTACGCCCCTGGATGCCACAGGGACATATATGTCCCTGCTCTACAACCCTCACTTTGAAGTCGAATAAAATTCAAAATACATCACCCACACAGATACACTTCACAGTTTTGAATTAGGTGGGAAATTCCCTGTTCTGTGATATCATCCCCTGGGATTTTAGGCCAAGCAAAAGTACTGAAAATGACCTCTGAAAAGTAGGTACATTGTAAATGTCGCCATTTCTTACACATTTCTAAATCACCACTCACTGCGTTATTTACAGCATGTTTTGAAATCTTTTTGAAATATTTACTCGGAGAAATGAATTTCAAAAATAGCATATTAGTGATCACGGGGATCTGTCTTTTATGAAATCACCAATGATCATTCCAAAACGTTTCCATTAACCCTAGAATCGTTTCGAATGTTTTGGAAAATACGCAAACACGAACGCCAAAGTGAACTTTCTGGTTTCAGGTACACCGGTTATGAGACGCATGTAACATCACATATATTTCAAACTTAGCTGCGATACATACATCCTTGAATTCCTCATACATTTTAGAATAAAATGACTAATGGTCTTTGTCACCAATACAAAGTGCCTAGATGAAAGCAAGCAAAATATGTTAAGTGTGAAAATGAAAAACTGCACTTGTTTGAAATGTAAACAAAGCAAAATACAGATTTTACACAGTGTATCATTTTCTCCTATTTTGAGCTATCCATTCGTCTATTCATTCAAGATATTGGCTCAACATTTTCAGAATACGCAAGGGAAGAGAATCGTAGGAAGAATTTGGGAATTCAAAATAGATACATTGCAATGATTTGATATTTTCAACAGAAATTGTCAAAGTTACCTTCCTCTGTGATGCCATGACTGATGCAAAATCACTCACAACGAAAACGGTATTTATCGGAATTTCTGACTATTTCCGTTGGTTTCAATGAAAAATATAACAACAAATAACAGTACATAGATTGTCAGAATATTTCTGATTACCCGGTACTTACATGTCACATTTAGTGTATATACAATCCCCGAATCAACGAAAGTCCCCTTGTAAAATCCTGTGTACTGTTGACAGTGAACACGCCATTTTGTAAAAGTCGGTCACCAATAGTAATGTCATATGTCAACATTGTTGTACATATTTGGTAATTTCTTTGAAGTGAAGGTCCTTGAATGAGAGTGCACACGATCACTGTATCATGCTGTTTACAGTTTCAGCTATGATGTATATTTTGCTTATCTTTTTTATTTTTCACACAATTGTTTTTTATGTCGTTTTATCCACAGAACAGTGATATCTAACAATTCGCCAGGTGCGCGTTAGCCACAAACAATTTAATATTCCTCTCGTTTTGCATTATATAATCAATGGGTTCTTCCTTTTTTCAATATTGTGATCACAGGATACTAGACTGTTTACTTTATTTCTCAAGGAATTGTAAAATGTATAAAAATAAAACCCATGCCATGTATCCCGTTGGTTCAACCTTATACGATTATCTGGATAATTCTATACCAATAGAGCTTTCTTCACATCCTTTATTGTGTAATTCTGAGACGAGGTGAAGAGAAATAATAACATAATAATGAACAAATATATGTCCCATATTGAATATAATTTTGGTTGTTTTGAAATATTCTTTTGGGTATTTCATTACGTAAATTGATGCTAAACAGGTGCATGTCTTGTCCAATTAAGATACACAATAAACTTTCTAATTGTTTATTTATTCAAGACATTATTTACTTGGTGAAAGCAGTCATTTTATGTTGTGTCGAAAAAGCATCAAATTTTGTTTTACACATCAAGATTTTCCATACCATGAACGAAAATTAGGGGAGATATATATTAATCAAAATACCAGTGTCGTCTTTCTCCGACGTTATCAAAGACATAAAATCAACCATGATGTCAAATAGAATGGTGTTATCTTTTGGTATTTCATTATATTTGATGATAAGGCTAGTGCTCCATTAATGATGGTGCAACATTAGTCAAATTACACCTACACATTCAGGAGAATGTTGGAATCTAAGGACTAAGTTATAGGTTAGATAGGGCCATCCATTTCTCTATTACCTCTTTTTAATGAAGCATGATTTCATCATTTCTTATGGATTTTGTTTATAACTAAACGAATACAGTTTCAATATCAATATTTGTATTGGAATAGTTTGGTTCCACGTGAACAAAACACCACGAAAATATATTGTCCTTATCCACAGCTAATTCTCACCAAGTGACCTGAGTTACATTAAACTAGTGCTAAGCATAACGGAGTTATGCCCCCTTTTCTTGGTATGTGTGTAACCTCTCTGTTGCCTTTTGACGTCATAGAGAAAAATCAGTTTTTGCTCTTACGGCATGCTATTCTTAGCATTGAATGTATGTCGTTATACATACGCATATAACTCCATTTGATCTATAGTTATGTCGTTCAGATATTAGGCATTATTTTGTTCGCTCACAGTTTCCGTAAAGTTTCTAAATTAAAAAAATCGTCGCACTGTACTTTTATCGGTGTACGATAAAAAGCGGAGAAATTTACTGTTTTTCAACGCAGATTGAATTCTCGGACAACACTTAGAAGTGTCTTTTTTTAAAACCTGTTTAATATTTGCAGTTAAATTTACACCAACAAATAGGAAACTTAATATTCTCGTAATTTTATAGCCAGAGCCTGAGAGGTATATCCAGTGCCGCGTGAGCGCAATTCTCGCACAACCTTCACTTTCGATCTTAGGAAAATGTGCATCAGAAAAAACCTCGGCATCCAGATGGTTAATATGTGGATGATTTTTAAGTAAAAAGACTTTGTCTTTTTTCCAGCCAAGTGGCTTGTTGTTTCCGCCATTTTGAATTTGTGTTACATTTGTGTACCTGCAAAGGTAATCAAATTGTTTGCAATTCATAGCTAGGTATTTTCTAACATGCATATGTTGATGTAATATACCTGTAGCTTTGGTATTTCATAGAGTTTTATACGTGTAGCATTCTCATTGTATAAACTTTCAACTCGTAATATTTGCCGATAACAATTGAAAAAATTCTTTCGGCAATTCTTCAAATATGTATTATTCAACAACTCCCTCGTGTACAAATTCTCGTGGTAAAAAATGTTTCAAAGTTTCTCTTCCACATTGTCTGGATTGCAATTTTAAATGCTATTTTTGATCACCTCTCTCTCCCTCCATTGAGGTTTGCTATTTATAGACTGGTCACTCACAAATGTATTTTGCAGCAGTTCCGTCATGTAGTGAGGAAGTTGTTGCAGATCAACATACAATCTTCAGTTATTACTATGCAACCAGTATCTTCGGTTGGTAATATGACTTTCGTGATTGTGACCGCAGACATTCAATCTCCCCCAGTTCCGAACGATGTTGGACTCTACTATGAGTATAGTACCTTTGTCTAATTTTCAGGCATCTATGACTTCCAGTGTGACAGTCCCACCGATGCCGGCATGCGCATCTTTCTTTACGACACTTATGTTGGGGTAGCATATACATAAGCCATGATCCAGTCGTCCCCTATGGGCGTTGCTTCACAAAGGCATGCACTGAGCGCAGCGCCTTCCTACCCCCCATGCGTAGTGACAATTACATCAACCTCAGGGCTTCCAGCATACCCCATTACGCTGTACCGCCTGCTTTTCCAGCACCACACCAGATGTATGCACAGCCGTCAGCACCGTTCCAGAACTGCAACTTGATGCAGAATTTTTTGCAATCCATGTGGCAGCAGTCTATGGCACAATTGTACTCAACACCAGCGTCTAACATTTACTAGACACCAGATGTGCGTTCTGTTACAACGCATGCGCTTTTGATTAGCACCGTAGTAGAAGTCGTTCTCCTACTAGGAGAGCATGTCACCATCATTCAAATTCCTCGGTGAAGATAGAGATTCCTCATTCGAATGGAATACTCATCTTAGCTTAGCGCAAATGTCTGAGTGGGTAGCAGACCGTTTCGTGTCAGTTGCGCGTTACCCAGGTTACAGGGTTGATAAGATGATATGGTCGAATATGGTTGATCCCACTTTGATTCTGGTGGATCCGTTGTTGAAAGATATGGTTAGGGCACATGACGAAGATTTCTCAAGACTCACACTTGTGCCATCTTTCAAACCACCAAATTTTGTGTGGAGCTCATACCTCGCCTCCAGCATATTACAGGATTTGAGGTTCATGCGCAGGGTGATTTAAATATCACGGGTCAAGATTTCTGACTGTAAACACCAGAATTAGGTCAACTGACCTAATGGAAGCAGTGTAGGATCACTGAACCAGTTTGGTTGACATGCTTATTTGTACGTTATGCTGCAACCTTAGGTCAGACAAGTGTCGCTGTATCTGATTGCGACCAAGTCACGATCTTCTGTAAACCGCTGGTGGCAACATGCGCAATATGGAAGCACACACAGAGTTCGAAGCTCCTCCCTTCATTGTCACCTCGGTAGAAGAACTGGAGCATTCGTGCGGCCTGGTACCTTGGCTATTGGTTGACTAGTGCTGTTATTTAGTTTACATGGGAGCTGGTAGTGGTTCACTTACAAACACTATTTTTCAAGTCTTGTCCAAGCACCACACGACTAAAAGCTCTGTCGTATTTGGCACTTTAACAATCTAGAGTGCCTCATCCTAGCCATCTCACATTAGCAGGTGCAGCTAAAGTCCATCCAACTCACATTATCTACTGACAACAGTTCGGCGGTGTGGTGCCTGTGCAATCTAGAGACAACACACTCACTCCCTTTTGCAACAGAGGCTCTGTTTCTTTCATCTTGTGGATCGTCTGCAACTGAAATTCAAAGTCCAGCACATCCCCGGGTGTCAGAACATCCTGACTGACAACCTGTCCAGAAAGGGTGGTTCCCTCTGGTTCAACTGGTGCTTGGGTAACCAAACATTGACCTGTTATTTACTCACCAGAACCACCAATCCTGTTCCCAGATCCGCAGACTTGGCGGTTGACGCATTCAGCATCCCCAGGGAAGGGCTAAAAGCACCTCCTGTATTACTTCCCAGGGTGATACTAAGGATCAAAGTTTCAAAAGCCTTGCTCTGACTTTTGTCACACCTTGGTGGCCGGCAAGGAGGTTGTTCGTTGACCTTAAATAACCTTGCAGAAGACGATCCACCAGCCCTTCCAGAGTGGTCCAACCTACTCATCCACTTTCATGGCAAACTACATCACTCAATGCCAGGCAGTTGGTTCTGCACACTTGGTTTGTCTTTCAAAAGACGTTAAGTGCCAAGGGCTATTCGGAGCGGGCAGCTAAGGACATTATTTTTTCGTGCATCAACCCTCTACCAGAGGGTTGGTTATACGATGACAAGTGGCGACCATTTGTTACCTTTTTTATAAGGTAAAGAATCAAGATCCCACGTCACTTCAATTCCTAGTCGAATACCACTTGCGTATCAAGGATAACTAAAGCGTAGCACCATTACGATGTACTTGGTAGGGTTTAATTCAGTGTTGGCCGTTCTCAAAATGACCAACGCCCTATTAAGCTATTGAGGTTTTGGACTTCTGAAGGTTTACCCACCTCCAATCTGTCTGATACAGATGATGCATTAAGAAGTAAGCCAGGATAAGTAAAAAAAATTAGTAAAATCTAAATATGTTTTACATTTGTATACTTATCCTGCATTACTATGTCTAAGGGCCTACCTGTCGCAGACTTGCCTCCCCACTGTGGCGGTTTTTAAGCCCAGGCTACAGGCAGTAATGTGCAGCTGACTTGACAGCAAGGTCACATGACAACGGCAATGGGTCAGAAAAACAAGTTGTCTTCACCCTTGACCATCACTGAGTGCTGTCTCTTTGTTGTTGTAAGGTAAGCAGAAACTGCATTAAGGAGTAATGCAGGATAAGTATACAAATGTAAAAGATATTTTTAAAACTGGTTATTATTTTTACCCAATATACCTATACACAGAAAATATATTGCCATATCTACCATTTGAAAAGCATATTGCTGTATACCCGTAATACTGTGCTGACCTAATAATGACCATGAGCATAGCACTTTCTGTTTGATTGGCATTCTAGAAGATGGCAAATAAGTAAGAAAAACGTACAACTTTATGGATAACAACTTCTGGTTTAGCGACGTTTCGATGAAGATTCTTACACAGTAGACTGTAAGGTGTAAGAATCTACATCGAAACATCGCTATGTGCAATAAACCAGAAGGTGTTATCCAAAAAGTTGTACGTTTTTCTAACATAGCACTTTGATATATTACAGGATATTTTTTACATGTGGAACAGTTAGATCAGATTCCCTTGAGGCTTCTCGTGGTCTTGCTATTTCAATCACGAAAACGTTATGTGTACATATGACAGTCAAACTGCAACAAGTATGACGAGTCAAAGTATGGTATTTCTGATATATATATCCATTCTCTGTCAACTATGGTTTGTTTCAAGGCATCAAGAGAGGCAATCTGATCATGGTTGCAGTGAGTTGGTGTTGATCTGACCAGTTCACACACAATTTCAACATGGGTGATGCCATATCTTTTTGGCATTTCAGTTTTCCTCAATTTGGACTTGTGTCAGGAGGGGTGGGTGTCTTTTTCAGGGCTCAACTTAAAAACTGCCAAAGACTTTTCATCCAAACCTTGTACATTTATTAACCAAGAACTGAAGTGGTGCCTTTTACTATTTAGGAATTTTTCAAAATTTGATTTTTCCCTTTTTTCATGGAAAGAAGTTAGACTTAGGTAAAATGGAGGTAGGTGTCATTTCCGGCCATATGACACAGTTGAACCAATCATCTTAACTCAAAAGGGTGCACGGGAATCACGCACGTTGAGACGCCCAATGCTAACACCGTATTCGTGCGTGCGTGCGTGATTCCCATGCACCCTTTTGAGTTAAGTTGATTGGTTCAACTGTGTCATATGGCCCTGTGACGCAGGGGTAGCATTATGCAGATGGCTGTTTCAATGAATCCTCGTTCCACCCGTGATGAACAGGTCTGGTTGTTGATGAAATATAGTGATAGCTAAATAGACAGATTTTTTATTCATGCACCGATTGTCTTTAAATGTAATATCCAGTTATGTATGACTGTTTAATAATCTCATACCAACTTTGACTGGAGTAGGTCCGATAGTTTTTCAGATATTGTAGTAAACGTTGGTGCCTTAAATTACCTTCCAGACTATAAATATATATGAGGTTGATAGCCAAAAGCCACAAATACTGCTGGAAGGTATGTAGAGAGTTTGCATTTGTTTAGTATTTGATCTATAATGATATGGATACTTTAAGATTCAATTTAGCTACTAAAGGTGAAACGAAACAGCAAGGTCACGATACGATGCTTCCCAGGATACATATGATACGTATCGTGATACACATATTTATGTCAAAATGCATGGAAACTTCTTGACAATAAATATTTCAGAGCAGGTTCAAAAGGAAAAGCTAGCTACAGACACATGTTCGTAAGGGCTATTTTTATAAGTGAACTTGAAATGCTAATTACAACACATTTTCCTATATCTGACTGATGAAAACGCCAGGGGTCATTAAACGAGTATGTATGTCTTATATCGATATAGTCAAAAACGTATCGTGTATCATATCATCAAATGAAAACTCATGATGCACCCCTATTAGCTACATATCCTGAAGGTTCCATATCTTACATATACTATCAGTTTCGATATTTTACTTGCAGATATGGGAGATACACTGTTGCAACGTTGGAAGCAAAACTTGAGAGCTATGAAAAGGAAATCAGACAACTGAATAAAGCTTTGGAGAGAAGTGATAGATATGTGGAGGATCTTGAGTCAGAACTAAATAAACTAAAGGGCACAATTCCAGGCAAAGCCAACTCTGTTCCTCCCAAATCTTCCTTAGGCTCCAGGAATGTAGATACTGTCTCCCAAAATCCAGCCAAAAGACAGTTGTTTGGAAGTTCCATGGAAGATTTAAGAAATCTCCATGCTGGAGATTTGATTTGGGACAGAAACAAACAAATGCCCACATCCACTGACTATCAGAAAGTTACTTCTGACAGAGCGCTTGGAGGATCTGCAAAGTCAAGACCACGAAAAGAGATGCAGAAGAAAGATGACACAGAGGTCACCATGGACAGCAGTTGCAATTCAGGATCACCTATAAAAGATAAGAGTCCAAAAAAAGTACACTTTTCTCTCCCAAAAAACTCACATGACACGTCATCCTTTGATTTGGATCAGCCTAGTCCCCTGACACCCTCAAGTGCATTAGGGAAAATGGCCATTGGGAGTGGTAGATCCTCACCAAGTGAGATTGAGTCTCGATATTTTCAACAAGCTAGGCATGGCTCTGAAACCACTGCCAGAAAGAATTCTGTGGATGGGAATGTATCCCTTGATAGTTTTGATGGTTTGGGGAAAAAAGGAAAATCTATTCTTAAGACAAAAGAAAGACATGATGATAGCTCAAGTACAAGTGTTCTTAGTGTTCCTGACTTTGAAGTAACACCTACAAAGAGGTTAAAGCACAAGCATGACCTGGAGTTGAGTGACCTTGATGACACACAGACAATTAGAAGTGAGCTTGATGACCTTAATATTTCTCTAACTCCAGAGTTGAGTGACTGCATGAAATTGTTGAACCGAGCTGAGAAGAAAACACACAATACAGAAGGATATGTTCAAGACACAGCAGGTACAAGAACAGACATTGCACTAGACAACTATTCCAGCCAACAGAGTCAGTTATTGAGTCCTACCTTGACAACTGCTACTGTCCATCCGTATCGCTCAAATCCGGATAGTCTGTTTAGCTTACAAGAGCAGGAATACTACAGTAAATTCAGACCTAACCCAAACATGCAGACAGCCCCTCACAATAGTGGAAGCAGTTACAGCAAGTTAGCATTCTCTGATGCAGGTATTACTAGAGCTAATCTCTACCCCAAAGTGGTCACTTCTATACCAGGTTCATCCTTTCCAACTACAGGACTATCCAACTCCTACACACTTCCAGCAACTACATCAGTTTCAAATTCTTATGGTGTGTCTGCACTTGTCAATGCTAGTCAGCTAAAAGGTATTCACTCAATGCAAAATATGGATGAAAAGTTGCACATGCTAGACATAACAGGAGATAAATACAGAGCATCAGGTTTATCTGACCAAAATGGTTTGGCTGCTAAATCTGATCCAGCTCCTGAAAGCAGTTATGACCGGTACTTTTCATCAGCCACAGTCCCTCCCCAATCCTTCCACTCATCATTGCCCATTACCACAACTGCAAAGCCTTCTCATCGAGGCTTAATCCTCAAAACTGATCTGCCCCCAAGATACCCAATTCAGCGCCGTTCTTCTCTGGATTATTGCAGAGAAGTCCAATTTGATCCCGTTAAAGGTTCAGATGCTCAGAACCTTCATGCCAGTCAAATAAATGTACGAAAATATTCCTCCCTCACCAACATTCCAGCAGCTATACCATTGTCATCCTCAGCTCTGTCTAATTACTCTCAGACAGTTGGCAATCATCTTCACAAGTTGAATAAACTATTTCCAGTCTCATCCAGTTCTTCCAAGGGAACTTATGTTTCCTCTGGTTTGCCCTATTCCATGTCTTCTAATCCTAGCTTCTCCTTGTCATTGACAGGTAGCACTCAGGCATCCAGTCATGTAGCTCACCCTGTGTCAAGGCCTACCCAAGCACTTCCTGCTAACTCCATGCTCTCTGCTGCTATTGTCACAAACCCATCATTGGTTAGCTACCCTGCTTCATCCAGCATTACATTTGCATCTACGGCTCTCAGGACATCCTCATCCAAACTGTTAGCAGAAGATGGACTTGAATATTTGACAGGTGCAAGTGATGTAGGCAAGACAGGAAACTATAGTTATGTGTCTAATGCATCAAATGAGCTTTCATCCAGAGGGTCAGACTCCTATTTGCCAGAGCCCAAAAAGCGCCTTTTTGAGAGTGGAGATGATTTAGATGTGACTTTAAGCCCCATCAAATCAACTAGAATTAACTAGAATTAATGGTCACTATGGCATGTGTATTATCAAATTTTGAAACAGCAACTTAAAAATGAAATATATGTATGCACATGCTTCTCCTGACACTGACCATTAAAGCAATAATACCTGGATAAGGAACAACATGAGTTGAGATGCTTAATTCATAGACACTACTAATTACTTGTGTTAAAATATTTTGCTTGTTTGTGTAACATAACTTGAAACACTACTGGTCTTGACTGGTTGACCTATACATTTGCTCTTGAATGCTTCTAATTTGGCATTGTAAGCTATTTTTTAGTCACTAATATATATTATTTTGATCATTGTTGATTCTGCAAAAAAAAACAAGATCATTTCTCATCCTGACGCAACATATTGCAATTTCCTTCTTGTTGTCAGTCATATAACACAGAACCCAAAACATGCCTCTTTTACATCAGGAGTGCCCCTTGCCCATGGTTACCCATCAGTGATATCACTTACTTTTCCTACCCATTGCACAAAAGGGGACACATGTGCTTCTATTTGGGAATTATATCCTTTAACATGATACGTTCTTTGACGATGAAACTTCAGTTACCTTGCTTGGTGTTTACTACATACAGTGGCAAGTGTTTAATTTGCATTAAGCATTTTTTCATCTTGTTCCACATGTTGGTGACAGGACATTTTCCTGATGTCTGTCTATTTATCTTATTTTTTTACTCATTTGTCAACATCACCAAGGTGCTCTTCATTGTTCACTTGGTCAGATGATTCTTCAGGTTCTCAGTCAGGACACACTGGTAGTGAAATTTGGTGAGTCCAGACCACCTGTTGAGAATTCACCTTCATCAACTTTGAGACACACTCTCCCAAAAAATTATGTCTATGTTCCAGCTGTGGCACTGAAGACAAATGTGGATGTTCCTAATTTACCATGATGCCATACCTGAGCTGCTTATCCAAGGCCTATTCGCAGGAAATGAACTGGATTGAGCATGCACTCTCACTCTTAGACAAGGAAAATCTGAACATTGATGATGCTATTGTGTGGTCAGCGTTTCTTGCCTCCCTTCTACCTTCTCTGGATGATCCATCATTGTTACTCTTTTATGAGAAATGTGCCACACCAGCCATGGTTAAGCATGGGATGCTTGTGATTAGACAGGCTACAGATTTTCTTGACCCTAGGCAAAGTCCTTTTACTTACCTTGACCAGCTCTTGTTTGCTCTTGCCAAATTAGTACAGTTGAAAGGACCCATCACTCATGGAGAACAAGTGTATGTTGTTATGTTGGGAGGGCTCTTTGGAAGGCAATCAGAGACCTACTAAATAGATCCGGCTGGACAACAGAAGGACTGAAGGAGATGTGACATCCTCTGGTGTAGCAGATTCACTTGTGAAGGTATCACATCTGACCAGGACCGGACACCACCACCAAGTTGCACTCTTGACCCTTCACAACCTGAAGCTTTCCTTCTTTAAAGAAGATCCAGTGATGATGGTACAATACTGGATAGATGACATGTGTCAAAAGTGTCCTACATATAAGTATTGGAACATCATGCAACTGGAAACCGAAGTTCTCTTGGTCATCCTGGCTCACAGAGGAAAAAAATTCCTATTATATGTCAAAGTCTTGGAACAATTGACACCCATGTTCTTTGCCCTCGGCCACACTCATTGTGCATGATGGACGCCCATTCACAAGAGACATGAAATCCTTACCAGAGATTTTCTGTTGTATCATTGGATCAGGCTCATGAACAGGAGAACTAAGCAAGTCAAGGTTCAGGTGGTGCATTTGGATTAGGAGAAACCCCATTCCTTTCAGATGCAGGATGGTGTCTGGGCCAGAGCTTGGTAGATTTATCCCAGAGTTGAAAGATCAGTATTTCCATGATGATCCAAATCTTCCCATCACCATGAGCAAGGGCTTTCCACACTAGAAACATTTTGAAAGCGGATTCAGAGCCATTCAGATACCATCAGACAAAATGGGAAATCTAATCTTTGATGATTTTGGTCACCTTATTACTCTTGATAGCCGAACCTGCATTCCAGAACCACAGTAAACACACTGGAGGATGTTGGAAAGAGGTAGTATAATAAATTTCTCAAAATTGATAATTGAAGATGGGACCCCCCAGTCTATTCATAAAACCCTGAAGAGAAATTCTCTGCCACTGTTCAGCTTTCCATACAGCAAGCCATCTTCTAAACACGGACAAAGATTGAAAGTTCTTCAAAATAATGAAGCATTTTGGGTCAGCTTAAAATGGCAATACAGAACGGTGAGATTGACTTTCTCTTTGCTCATGAGATCCAGGCATTCCCACCTTCTCTCTCTGATTTTGGCAAACTTTAATTACCCAGTGCAAAGTCTGACCTTTGGTGCTTTGCACAGTCAAGAGTTCCCTGTCAACTGTTCAGTGGGAGATGGTATCAAGAGATGTTTTTCGGGAACAGACACAGAGATATCTCTGTGGAGGATGTACCAGGTTCAACCACTCAGATTGGCACCGTATTTGACTGTTCCGCAGAATGTGTAGCAGAAGTACTCAATCTCGGAGTGTCTGTCTTTGGGCATGTAGGGATGTCTCAACAAAACTGTTGATGGATTATCAGTCTCTTGATGTACTATACGACTATGAAACTGCCGCTACAACACTAATCAAAGCTTTTGCATACAAGCATTCAGATTGTTATTACACACCACTGCTCAGTGTTTGCCAGATATTTCCCTTGTGTCACAATAAATATCATAAGAGATTGTTGGGCTGTGTTTGGTACATCTTGTAGTTCCAACATTCGGGGCAGTGAAGGACCAAGGGCAACAGGTGCCCCTGATGTAGATGAAGAAATGTTTTTGTTTCTCGTATAACATTATCGAAGTGAAGAAGGAAATTGCAACATGCTGTGTCAGGATAACTAAGTTATATCATGATTATCCATATTCATGTAATATCAAGTGAATAATTACTTTGAAAGCATAAGCAAGAATCCACTTTTTCAAACTTTCTGATGATCACATTAATTCAGCATATTTAACACATGCAGGACCATGCACAATCTGTAATTGGCACACTCCAGGTACGTTATTGTGTATTGTATGTGTTAGTATATACATCGTCATGTTTGAACTTGTGTAGACAGTGTTCTTTTTATCACACAGTTCACAGTTTCAAATATAAGGAACATTTCATGCATAAAGAAATATCCTTGGACCCATTACTACTCAGCTCTTTCACCCTGTTTTTACAGAAAGTAGAATGAATCTCTCCCGTTCACACCAGGATACTGAGCATGGATATCTTTTCCAACCTGCATCATACTGCTACTTGTTGTGGCTGGACACTAGCGGACTTTCTTTTGTATGGATAACAAAAATAACTTTTCATTCAATGCAGCGGGGGCCCAGTTGCCTAAGGCGTTGTGATTCGCTGTGCAGAGTTGTGTCCCTTGGCCATGCCAGAAACCTATGATTGTGGGTTCGAATCCCGGATCGCCCCGATTAGGTTTCTAGGTTTGTCAGCACCATACCCGTGGATTTCACCGAATTGGTAAACGTCTAAGACTTGCATTACTTCGGGCTTTCCTCCAACATAAAACTCACTCACTCACCCATGCAGTGTGATGCACTGCTAATTGTCTGATTTACCATTACAAAGCAGGACAAATAGTGTTATGTTTTCAATTACTTACATGGCAAGTCAGATGATATCTTATTGGTGATAGGTGATGACCAGTAGAGGTATAACAATTGAAGGGTCCCCTTACGATACATATCCAGATACTATGGGTGCGATACAATTAGTATCCCGATACAGTACTTTTATTTCAGAAATTGATATTCTTTCTTCAGATAAGGTGAATCCAAACCCTGAATCATTTGTTTTTAAATTTCAGAGATCAGAGATGGGACATTGTGGGCCTCTTACTGGGATACAATACTGTATCGCAGCATTGTTACACCACTAATAACCATGTTGTCTTTTTGAGTGCCTGCGACAACAAAATTGCATATGTCAACTATATGCAAGGAATTTAATGTGGAGAATTGTGATGTATCTACCTTAGGACCTGTGTACCATTTTCTTTGTCTATCATATTAACTTTTTTTTCTCTTGTCAATCTGTACCAAAAGCTTTACTGTCTGCTTTGCCCACACATAGGCATAGGTTTCAGAAGATGTTTTCTTGTTGATATATGAACTATTGTCAGATAAGCTTACTTGTCAAGATTGTCAGGTAGGAATTTTACTCTTCACAGCTTTGGACTAGTAAATAAAATGACTCGCTATAGAATCAACTTGAAAGAAACTGTGCCCGAGACCATTGAAGTAACATCTTCAAATATCATGATCATAGTGAAAGTTTCTCACAGCATCATAACATTTTAGTTTACTCTATTATTTATTTTTATAAATGTAGAAAATGATAGTCCTTCATCATTTGTGGAATATGTCTCGTGTTCCTGAATACATTTCTTGGTATCAATGTGATTAGATGAGAATTGTAATACCTGATTCAACTGTAATAATTAATTTATTAGCTCACCTTTTTAGTCACATGAGCTTATGTCATGGCCTGGTTGTTTTGTGACTCATCAACAAGGGTGTTGGTATCGACATCTTGAACAGCAGATCAGAAACCAGTAGACATTGAAGATGAAACTTCATGTGCTTTTTCCAACAAATGATTACACCTGAATTTATTAAAGAGGTTTGAATCTGATTTTCAACAAGGTAGCTAAAATGAGAGAGAGAAAAATATTTATGAGGTTACCCTCCACCCTATTGGTATGCTGGATGATAATGGTAATCTGCGTGCCGAAGTCGAGTACGTTGAATGCCATCTCTCTCTCGCAAATAGTGGTTAATTAATAAAATATTTTACCCTAAGCTTATGAGCCCACATGGTCATGCATTTCATGCATATGACACATGAGTTCTCAAATTGGATGCCAAGAAAAATTAGATGGCATTCTAGATACCTAAGGATTGGGGGTTTGGCATCCTCATTTATGGCCACTGCTCATCCATTTCTGCTCAAGATGTATTGTTTGAAGTATATTTGACAGTTTAATATTTGTGTTTTTCCACAGTGCTACAAATGTATATTTTTGAACTTATCCTATCTCACTCTCACACTGCATACCCATTCTTCTTTCAATCATAAGTGGAAACATGCATAAACAAAGGTTTCCAGCTTCTGAACAAACAATCCACCCAAACACCCCTAGCATCACCATGGTCACCTCCCAACAATCTAGGTCATGCACTCTTTTCATGCCGGCCGACCTACATGCGATGAACAACTCATTCTCTTTCTAATCACCTCAGTGTGGCGACGTGCTCTCACAAGAGAATCTTTTGGGCTTTCTCTTTTGACCAACTTTCCCTTTTTCGAAGACTTCAAGATTCTTCTTTGGTCGAAATTTCAACAAATAGGTCACGCATCGACCTGCGTGCCTGACTTGTAGACAGGTTTTTTCTCCTTCTGACCCACATGATGTCTGCTTGGATTGCCGCGGTCGCTGTGTTGACGTTCAGCATTTATCTTCATAAGTACCGGCGTAGAGAACAAGACTGGTGCTCTAAACCTGCTGAAAAATCGACAAAAACTAAGAGAGAAATAAGCGAAACTACCTACCTCTTTGACGATCAGGGAATTGTCTATCTATTCACTTCCTATCTTGTCTGTCGATGATGATGGAGTATCTGACAGCTTTTTCACGGAAGGTTCCTGTCTTAACTGCTCAGCCTCATACGGAGAATCTACTTTCAAAGCTGTGATGTCAGCAGGCCTCCCTCAATTTGGTCCTCCTACGGATACAGTAATTTCCGTTCAGGCTTCTGTTCAACCTACCCCAAAACTCTCACCCCCTTCACCTGTGGACCCACAGAGGAGGATTTAATTGATCGTCATGCCTCCCCTGCTTCTTCATTAGGCAGTTGTGACACTGTGGATCCAGTTACAGTTTTGATTTGGATTGCAGATAAACTCCAGCTTCCCAAGAGGACTTCGACCGAAGATACCTTGTCATATTTTGTTGTCCCCTCTACAACTTTGGCAAACATTACACTCACTCCCAGACCGGTTGTAGCAGATTTGGCTACAGATATGGATAAAGTCTTCGGGCCCTTTGTCAGTCCCCTTGCTTTGTGTTGGCTGATGCAGGCACTCATGGTCTCTCAACTTCTACTCCTGAATTGGACAGTGACTTAGCGACTTTGGCCCCAAAAGTTCATTGTCCTGCACTACTGTGGACGATAGAGATTTAATGTATCTAGGCACTGCTCTAGTCTCAACTATTCTTACGGCGACTGAGCTCTTACCTTTGGATCACACATCTTCTCCCGAGGAAGCTTGCATTCCAGGTGCTGTTGGTTTTATCCAGGACAAGGTTAACGACCTGCTTTAACTCCCATGCAGTCAGATCTTCGGGAGTGTATCGGTAGAAGATTCAGTTCCTTTCGCGGTTGTGAACATGGTCGCCAAGGACAACGTGGTGGCAAATCTGACAGATGTACTGTGTCTTTTTCCAGACCTGAATGTAGCGGCAAATCTCCCAGAATTGGAGATACGACTGCCAAGTGACTGTCTTTGGACTCTTCCGCCCACAGCCTTTCCTGTGGTCACATCGCCCGTAGATTGTGTCTATTCACAAAGAATTGGGCCATCCTTGGCGTTCTGTTTGTACTAGTCCTTCTAAAGACTGGTTATCATCTTATCTTCATTGTGACTCCTCCTATGTCTTACAAGCCTCTTCAGCGCCTGTATCCAGACAAGCAGCTTCCGGTTCTCAGGGATGCTAAAGGGGATGCTACTTGCAAAGAACACTAAGGAGTGCCTGGGCACATCTCCAACAACACCGTGTTTCAACTCACCGATCTTCATGGACACAAAGAAAGACAGACTCCAACTCACGTCTCATTTTCCACTTGAAAATACCTATAGATACCTCCACACTTCCGGATGACTTCCCATCCCATTACAACATACAATTCTTTGTCCTGACGAGTACATAATCAGTCTAGATCAACAGGTTGCATATTTACACGTCCCCGTAATCTGGATCACTGCAGATTCCTCCAGTTCATTTTACCTTGTCTGCCACTACGAATGGCAGGTGCTCCCATTTGGAATTTCTTCAGGCCCGTGGATATTTACCCGTCTCACCAAGCCCATCGTCAAATTCCTACAAGTTCGAGCCATCGTCTTCGAATCATAATCAACAACTGCATTCAGACCAATGAAGATCAAGGCACTCTTCTCCTTCATCTCAACTTCACATCATGTCTTCTTCATCAGCTTGGTCAAAAAATCCCACTCAACTTCTTCAGTTTCTTTGGGCCATGTTCGACACGTGCCTAGGCAAAATGTTCGTTCTTCAGGACCAAGATTCAACACCTTGTTTATTAAAGTAGACACAATTTATTGATAACAACTCCTTTAACTCTTTCATCCCTGGCTGCCCCAGAGTTATGTCCCTTGAAACCCTGCAGTCCCTGACACTGACAAGGCCTGCACACTGGCCTCCCTGGCAGTATTATTGGAAAATCAAACTATCATTTTTGATGCACTTTTTTTACCAGAAACTTGCTTTTAATATACATTTATCATATATCATTGTAAAGAGGATTAAGTATACTGTAATATTCTTTGTTGTTATTGTCTCTAACCTTTGTTATTTTCTAATTACAGGTGTTTACAAGTGAAATAAAAATTGAAAACACTGAAAAAATGAAAACAGACAATGAATTTTGGCTCAAATTGTATTAAAAATCACAAAAATAAATCACAGATACAAGGTGAACATAACACAGTGGTCTTGTCATCTTGGACGGCACAGGTTATCCCAGTTGTTACAGGTAAATTCTCTTCATGCACATCTGTAAACAAATAAACAAGTTTACAACTCTTGGTACTGACTTTGTTTTCTATACTGATGTCACATATAACTTATGATACACTTACAGCTTAGGTTAACTCGTTAACACAAGTAAAAACACAAATATTTGATTTATTTTGTTCTTTTTCAGGATTTGAAACAAAAGTTAAGTATTTAAGTTTTTAAATAGTAATTTATCACATTACCTGAACATTGAACCACAGCTACTATAAGAATGACATCACAGAGAAGATATCACAGATTGATCTGAAAGGAGGGAAAGATTGTAAAAGGACGGAAAGATCGTAAATTCAAGTTCTGCAAATATACAAGTTGTGATAACATATTTACAATACACTGCTATTTACAATTGCATAATAAATTAAATCAGTACTTTATTACATCAATTAATAAATAAATAATTATTACAGTTACTAAAATTTAAATAATGATGTAAAAAACAAGAAAACAAACATGAATATGGAAATAAATTTTATTCAAATTGAGCGAAATATAAGGACATACGACAAACCGGCAAACTACAATTCGGATTGTGATCAGAAAATTAAATTTTAAAAAAAAGAAAGAGATACGTCATGCCACTCCCCTTTGTTGTTGTTGTGATTGCTCATTCACTTGTAGGCTGCATTCTCATTCGTCGCACTGAAAATCTGTTCAAACACACAATCATTGTAAAACAGTCGAAACAGTCAAAATCTTCGCGAAATTCCCTCTCCCCTTCTCGTAAATTATTCAAATCAAACAAATTATTATTCCCGATAGAGTCGTTGTTAGTCATCTGATCGCTATCCGAATCGTAGTTGGCTGCCATTACGCTAGATTTACAATTTAAGCGAGAAAAATACCTGTCGCGAAAACAGGTGACATATCCGCGATTTTCGGGCCAAAAAGACTGGGAAATTCCATCGAATGACGTGTCATTACGTGTAGATCTCGTTTCCATATTTAGAACGAAATTACACACGAGAAAGGAAGTAGAAAGAGCGATTTTGTAAACACGTTCGTGCCGCCCGATTTATCGGGCAGCCGTGTGTGGGACTTGGACAGTAGCTGCCCGATTTTTCGGGCATCCGGGTACTGGGACACGGGTTTCTTCCCCAATCGGGCAGTGGGGGCAAAAGGGTTACTACTGTATACGTTTCGGTATAGATCCTTACTCTATTGTCAAGCAAGATTTGACAGTATTACAGTATTAAAGAAGTTGTTATCCATAAATTGTGTCTGCTTTGTCATCCGTCAACTTCTAAGTAATTCCTATCAAACAATTCACCTTGTCCATTGGCACTTAGTCACACCTTCTGTGTCAATGGCAACAACTACTCTGTCTACTGACATCAGCAAAGGCTCTCACCAGGACAGGACAACGCCACCTGCAACCAATGCAGTGTTTTCTCAAGCCCTACCTTCAGAATGACGATTGTCATTTTAAAATTTCCCTCCCGGCCACATATCCAATGGTCACACTGGGCGACTCTTCTTCGTCTGTTGATCCTGAAGGACAACCTATTCGTTGTCTGGTACATAAACAAGATGAGCTCCAGTAAGTCAATGTCACTACTGTCTCTAGCGATCGACTTTTTTCAACAGATCAACTCACTCAACATTCAAGTTCGGGTGAGAGACATCCCCAGCATATCCAACGCCATAGCCAACTCCCTGTCCTGACCCAACAAACCATTTCCCACAGAATGGCGCCTACATCCAATGATCTTCCAGTGGATTTGCTAGTTTTTTCCGTGTCCCGACGTCGATCTTTTCACAACCTGCTTCAACACTCAGCTATCCTGGTGCATATCTCTGGCTTGGAACGACGTATTAGCCATGTCTTGGGAGGACTTACACACTTACGCCTTTCCCCAGACCGGTGTTCTACCTCATGTCCTGCAGAAGATAACATCCTCACACTGCTCTTGGCCAACTTGGAGTTGGTTCGTTACACTCATCCAACTTGCAGACAGAAGATTTCATCGTCTACCACAAAGGGTTGACCTTCTTCTTCAACCTCACTCCCAGCGGCTCCACTTGTCACTCGAAACCTACAATCTGTGCGTCTGGCGCATTTACAGAAATCCCTTGTTGCCCTGGGTAACTCTCGAAAGGTAGTCAAGGCCATTTCAGAGGCTCATAGATTGTCAACCAAGTCCCTGTATGACCATAAGTGGAAGGCCTTTGAGGCCTACTGTTGCGCGGGTGCTATTTCTACACTGCTTCTCCACAACAAATTGCTGAATACCTTCATCTCCAGTTGTCACGTAAGCTTAAGGGTTCTACCTTAGCAACGCATCTTGCTGCGATCAATTCCATCGTCACGCCTACACCAGGTGCAAAGGTTTCTATGGTTGCTGAACTGCAATCCTTAATTCAGTCTTACAAGTTGGCGGACCAGTCATCGCAGTTCAGACCACGTTCTTAATGTCATAATTCACGGAGTCTTTTGGGGGGCTCTTGCAACTGCTGCTCAAGTGAGTGAGATTCATGCCTTTGATGTCAACAGAGTTCGCTTCGTACACACTCTGCTTGGGAAAGTTTTCCTTGGCTTGCAGTAAGATTTCATTGCCAATAATCAACTACCTAAATAGGTTACTTACGACCTCACCTTTGATGTCCATCTAAAATCCTGAGGATCTTGAAGACATATCTTTGTGTGCTGCAGATCTATCTTGATGCCTTCCGGTAACAGACTTTTTATCCCTCTATCTATGACAGCTGTTACGGAAGTTCCCCGCATTACAATTCCTGTAGCTTATTAAGCTCAAGAAAGAGAATGAGTTGGCTGGGAAAATCATGTGTTCAGCGAGTGTAGGTTCACAACCTCAAAAAGCGTGCATGACCAATATTTTTGGGAGGTTTCCGCTTAGGATCGAAAGAAGAATGAGAAATGCATAGTGTGAGATAAGATATTCTTGCTTATTTAGAAACACTGTGGAAATGTAGTTAATATTTGTTAATACATTTGTCCTCAGTATTTACGCAGAAAATATTTCGATAGCAATGCTGCTAGCAACTTTGTTAATTGGCTCCCTAATTTGACATTTTCAGATGTTGACAATATATCCAGGCGAGCTACAGTGCCATGACACTGTTTCTTAACATAGTTTAAAATTTGACCATTGTGCAAATTTAGTGTTTTGGGGGCACAACATGTTCTGTTTTGCACAATATTTCATATGTCTTACCATGTTTCTCCCTGCAAAGATCAAATCAAGGTACAAGATATTTATGGTCATTATTCAACCATTTTAATTTAGACCTGTGGAATATGTAGATGATGTTTTCTTTCTTTTTATATAACACATTTCATTAGTGATACAACGAGTTAAAATTTTGTAAGTAAAGACAAATCATTACTTTCCTGCGACAACAGAATGCAATTTACATTACAGATTGGAAACAGCTTGCATGAACACACCTTAGACATCTTTGACTTTTTGTATTGCATTGTGTTGTTTATATATTTATCCTGCAGAGTTGTTTAATTAGTGGTGCTCCTTTTTGCAAGGTTTGCATCGTAATTCTTCTTTATTTTTACTTGCATTTGCACATGGTGGAATGGGCTATTCATACTGCAAGGATGTTTTGAGCATGGAGTTGTGTTTTGTATTCATATTATAGGTGTAACTACATGGGTTTAGCATGGTTCTCTTCTATTCAGGGTTCTCTTCAACCTTTACTACTTGCTGTCACACTCAGACCAATACAGCTGTATCTGCTTTGTCATACCCAGTTTGCCCGGGTGCTCCTGTGTTGGTGTCTTCTGCTTTGGCTTTGTATGCCCTAGTGCCTATGTCGTCTGCTGCAGGTGGAATACCTGCATTTGCATTAGGTAAGGCATGTTTTCCAATTGCCTTTGCATTTGTCTTTTGGCAGACATTTGACTCGTTGAGATGTGGATTTGAATGAGTTGTATGAAAATAGAAATGCAGGTTTTTGGCTTCACCTACCTAGGGTCAAGGACATACTACAGGGTTCTTTTGGATTTTAAGAGCATGAGGATTAAGCTTGTCTTTCCATCTCCCATCTTTGATATTTGAGTTTTCATACCTTTTGAATGATGCTTTCCTGCATCTTTACCTCAAGGGAACATTGATGAAACCATACATTTCACCTGTCAATATCCTTGTTGAATGGCCAAATCTCCAACCTTCACCTGCAGAATCTCAAACTGTAACAAATTTGTCCATGCTCTGTCCAAAGTCCATGTCATAAAGGTCCCTTTCAGAAGATCCAACAGTCTGCACTGTTTCCCAGGGCAGGGGGACATTCAGCTTTCCAACCCAAGAAGTCTGGCGTTCAAGGGGGTCACAGGGGACAGCTATACATGATTACCACAATCCTACTCGGTCCTTTTGAGACAGGGACATGTTGCCTTTTGGCTGGGACCTGCCACCAAAGCTGCACCTGCATGTCTTACCGGCATCAGTGGACCTACATGATGTGTACCTGCATGTTCCCATACATCCTGACCCGTGCCTCTTATATTGTGGCAGGTCCTATTTGGAGCGAATTGGAGTAAATGAATTTTCAGTCTTAATTCGGCCTTTCTACACCAACCAAGAATATTGTTGGGAGAGATTGTCACAAACTCTCACAGTTCATCAGGGGTCAGTATCACAATGTGTAAAGCCCATTTCTGGTGTCCCCCATCGTGATATTGCAGGAATATTGCTAAAAGCCGAGAAAACCATACTCACTCACTCATACAGTATCACAATGCCCAGAATTACCTTTCGGTTCCCCAGGACAGGTGGCGGAAGAAAACAGGCCTAGACCTGTTCAGCTCCACAACGTTAACAGTGTTTCAAATACTCTTGAATATTGCTTGCCCGGCGGGCTAGCTAGCTGTTTGATGTGTCACAGACTCATTTTCCGAGTTTCAAAATAGATGCAGAAACATTCATTGTCACCTTGAATTTTGACATTGGGTAGTCAATGTCTGTTATCAAACTCAAAATATGTTTGTTATTCAAGATGAAGAAGGGTAATTCTGATCTCACAACCTTGAATCGTTGCGGATATTAATTTAATTTTGTAGTTTTGATAGTCATATTAATCTATAAACATGGGAGAAGCTTTTTCTATTTTGATCAACTAAGAGGTGTACATAAAAATAGTCCTGTGAAGATTCCAGGTTAAAATTGGTCTTCAGCAACCCATACTTGTCATAAGAGGCGACTAATGGGATCAGGTGGTCAGGCTCGCTGACTTGGGTGATGCATGTCATGATATCCCAATTGCTTATATTGATGCGCATTATGTCAATCACTGGATTGTCTGGTGCAGACTTGATTTTTTACAGACATGGAGTGGTCTCAGCCTTGTGTTGACTATACAGACAAGTCAATGCATCT